CTGATCCCTTTTGAGCAAAAGGTAGTAACTGACATAAATGCCATTGGATTTGAATAAACTTGTTTGTTCACCATAATCCCGAGCTTTAGGCATTGTCAAGTTTCTCATGCCTAATTTGTAAACACTAATAGGATTAATGAATTCCAATCATCAGCTGATCTCCAAGAAATACAATTATAAATTGTATCTTTCAATTTACAACTGCAAATTACCTTTGTGACTTTATTTTGTTCTTCAATGTGGATTTCATGTCTAAAACTCATTTCTATCTCTAGAACATTTTCTTTCTAGTTGAGGACGGTAAATGATATTGAGTGAAACAGAAGAAGGTATAATTTATCTTACATGTGTCTTGAAGCATTAATATTTCACAATCTATCTCAATGCACATGGATATTTAGTTTTGTTTTTGCCTTTTAGTTCAGTTGGAGATAATTGAGCTGCTTCTGAAAGCATGTGATGCTGTGGAGAACTATGTCAAAAAGGTTAGAAACATTTTAGTAGCTTAAGTAAGATGAACAATCCATTTTGTGACTCCAATTTATGCTCCTCTCTTTTTTTGATTCTGTTATTTCAATTCTTTGGGCAGTGTAAGACTTTGGTTTTCGAATACAGACCGTTCATCTCTGAGGAGAAATGGAGGTTCAACTTCTAGCTTTTATTGGTACTTAGATTCAAGTGGCATCTCTTGTGGTGTATTTTACTTGGAGATACTTTGATGTTTTGTTTATTATCTCCTAGGAATCCAAGTCGTTTTTTCAACGCCTTCACATGTGTTACAATAATGTTATTCCTCGCTCTCTCTTGGCTCTGTGAGAATCAGAGAACCCTTCTCTCTCTCTCTCTTCAAGCCCTCATTTTGAATCTGGGAAACCTTCAGTCTCAGAGAAACCAATCCCTCAAATCTCTCACTCACCCGATCGCTGGCTCTCTCTCTAAACCCTTCACTCTCAGATATTACGATTCAACCTCAGAGTGATTTCGATTTCGAAGTTTTTTCTCTCTCTCTCGATTTGGAACCTCCACCGCCACCACCATCTGCATCGTTGACTAAGGTGAGCACCACTGTATACAATCTCAATTTCGTATTCTCTCTCTCTCTCTCAAGCTCTTCCTTCCATCGATTCTTCTCCTAGGGTTTACATATGTTTAAGATTTCAAATCTGAGATTTCTCATTCAAAAATTTATGTTTCAGATCTGAGATTTCTCATTCAAAAATATGTTTGAGATTTGAGATTTCTTATTCAAAAATATATGTTTCAGATCTGAGATTTTTCATTCAAAAATATTTGTTTGAGATTTGAAATTTCTCATTCAAAAATATTTAAGTGTTTGGTTTGTGTGTTTGAAACATGTTTTTGGAAGAAAATTTTCCAAAACATGTTTGGTTACAAATTCTCTTAAAAAAATTCCAAAATTACTTATCTTTATTACACATCAATCAATCACTTTTTTTCTTACACACATATACTTATATACAAAATTCCAAAATTACTTATTTGACATTAGTGGGCCCACAAAAGAGTTTGGCCCACGACTTAGGGCCCAATTCAAGATCCAGGTACTAAAGCCCAGCACCCCTGAGAACCCAATGTTGAACCAGGACTAATAGCATCTAAACACTTGTCAGGCAGGGAACCAGCCACGTAAGCAGACAAAGATCTGCAAAGTTATTATGCCCATATATTAACCATTAATGAGACTCTTATGGCATTAAGTGCGACAGCCTCTTCACGTCGGAAAAAACAGGCTCACCGTGAACGAAGTCAGCTAAACCTTAGACTTTCAGCCGATGGGACAACTGAGAAAAGACAAGGAAATGATGAATGAAAGAGATAAAAAAGCTTAAAAAGAACGATAGAGGTTAAGTTCTTTAATCTCTCTCGGATACTCCCTCTCTCTCTATAGAAAAACCTCATTGCCTTGAACTAACCTAACCTTCGGAGTGTCCGCTGGGGGACTACCCCCCTTTGGACCATTTTGGCAGGTGTATTTCGCTAACCACAAGCCCCACAGACCTATCAGAAGTGTGGATCAATCTGGCCTATCTATCCACCAAGCTTATAGCATCATCATTATTTTTTGGCATTTATTATATCAACTACGTTTTATTCCAAAGAATTAATTCACGACTGTGAAGAACATATGTCATCAATTAATAAACTGTTTTCTTATGTGCATGCTTGTCTTGTGCTCTAGATTTCATTGTTAAGAGAAATAAAATGTGGGTTCACACTTCTTCCTGCACTTGATTTAACAAAAGCTTAGTTAATCAAATCTGTTGTACCTCCTTTTGTTAAGCTTCATCTAGATCTAAAGAAATTATATTTTATTTTTTTTTATTTCCAAGTTTAAAAACTCTTATTGATCACATATTGTCAAATTTGGATATTGGACTAGTGATGAGAGGAAATGGGTTGAACTATCGATATTAACTCCTTTTTTTACTTCCACTTTGCTTTTATTTGTGTTCTCTTTACAGTGTTTTTGTCTAGATTTTTGTTTTGTTTATATAAATATATTGTATTTTTTTTTTCCATTCATGTTCTTCATAGTAATTGCTTTTGTTTTGATTGGAGTACAAAAGTCTTTTGTGAAGGAATTGTGAGTAGGATTGCCGACTTTGAGACTATTAGGGCTATCAAAGAGAAGCTTTGCTATGTAAAGTTAGCGAATATCATCATAGTTTGGTTTGCTTTTATGGAATTTGTTCATTGCAATTTACTTGTTCTGTTTTGCAGTTATGATTACAGGAGGGAATATCAAATTTGGCACACAATTGTGGTGTATTTTTTATTTTTTTATTTTATTTTATTTTATTTTATTTTTTTTGGGTATTTTAGTGTTGTTTTGAAGTATCTAAATTGGAACTTATTTGAGACTTTTGTTGCTTGAACTTAATTTTCATAACCAATGATTGATATAGTGTGCTGGCATTGGAACAAATTGAGTCACATCTTCACTTCATATTTGTTTGTTCCAATGAGCCTATGGTCTACTATTAGATAAGATATGAACCCTAAAATATCAGACTTTGGCTTGGCACGAATTTTTCAAGCAACACAAGAGCAAGCAAACACTCACAGGGGCGTGGGGACATCGCAAGTTTCATTTCTTTCCTCGAATTGATTGAAGCTCTCTACATTCACTTTTACAACTAAATGGAATTAATCACATCAAAAGTAAAGTAATTGTGCTGTAACTGTTGACATTCACGCACTAATCACTATGTTATATTCCAATCAAATACAGTAGTTATATGTCGCCTGAGTATGTCTTAGGAAGGGTATTTTCTGAAAAATATGAAGATTTTAGTTTCGGAGTCTTGTTACTGGAGATTGTTTACGAGAAGAAGAACACCAGTTTCCAAAATCATGAAAAACATCTACGCCTTCGTAGTTATGTAAGTGAACTATCTACTCAACTAGCCATTTTGAAAGGAAAAATTACCAAAAAATGGTTACTAGAGAAACTAATTACAATTTGATAGAGAATTAAAAAAATTATATTAAAGCTGGAAATTTGCAAAATAATTACAAATGGGTGACGATATTGGTAACGATATTTTGTAAAACGATTGAATTAGCCTTCCATTCTCTTCTCCCTATTCTCTCTTTTATCTTATTTCTCTCTCCCTTAAAACCTCCATACCCTCCCGCCAACCACTCTTGTTGCCACTAGTTCCTTCCCTACTCTCCTCCAAACTCCCCACCTCCTCACCATCCTTCCCTAACCTCCCAGCACACACCAATCCCTCTACAACCCTTACATCACCCTGATGCCTCCCTTCTCTTTTCTGTCTAGCCTCTCTTACTCCGAAGTTGACCGGCAGCGATGGGTTGTTGTAGAGGGAAGAGAATTAAGGAAAGAGGAGAGAAAAGGGGGATGGGTAATTTTCGTCATTTTACAACATAATTTTTCACCCATTTGTAATTATTTTGCAAGTTTCCATCCCTACAGTAACTTATTTTTTATTCTCCATCAAAGCGTAATTAGTATGTCTAGTTACCAATTTTTTGGGGTTCCTTTGAAATATTTCACAATTTCCTTATGCCGTGTCTTTTTGACCATAGGTTTATAATTCGATGACTATCTTAGGCATGGCAATTGTGGAATGAAGGGAGGGCATTAGATCTCATGGATCAAGTATTGGCTGACTCATTCTCCTTATCTGAAGTAAAGAGATGCATCCATGTCGGCCTTCTTTGTGTTCAGGACCAAGTCGCAGATAGGCCAACCATGACGGCTATAATTCTTATGCTAAGTAGTGAAATAGACGGTCCACAGCCAAAACAACCTACATTTACTTTCGGAAGCTTGTTGGACTCTGGTCTTGGTTTGCAAAGTGACAATATATGCTCCATAAATGAGGACATTGTATCAACAATTTACGGGCTATAATTGAGAAGTACAGGTAGCTCAACCATTAGGCCATTTAGCCTATCGCTTAAGGCCAAAAAATAAATTAAAAAAATTCTTATTGGCAAATGCCTCGTTTTTGAAGGCTCATTAAAATAAAGCCTCATTTTATTGTTTAATCTAAGGTCTCAAAGAATCTTACACCCCTATTGGCAATTCTCCCAGTTTTGTTATTGCTTTTGAACAGTGTTGTTGAATTGCAAAAAGGCTGTGCAACAGACACAATTATTCAATCTAAAACAGTTTCAGTAGGAGAAACGCTCATATCTAATGGCCAAATCTTTGAGTTAGGCTTCTTTAGTCCTGGAAATTCTGGCAAGCAATACGTTGGCATATGGTACAAGCAAATTTCTTTCCGTAGAGCTGTTTTTGTTGCAAACAGAGGGAATCCGCTAATGATCACAAGCTCCACTTCTGGTCTAACAAGTGGCGATGATGGAAATCTACGCATTGTTGACGCATTTAGCCTATCGCTTAAGGCCAAAAAATAAATTTAAAAAATTCTTATTGGCAAATGCCTCGTTTTTGAAGGCTCATTAAAATAAAGCCTCAGTTTATTATTTAATCTAAGGTCTTAAAGAATCTTACACCCCTATTGGCAATTCTCCCAGTTTTGTTATTGCTTTTGAACAGTGTTGTTGAATTGCAAAAAGGCTATGCAACAGACACAATTATTCAATCTAAAACAGTTTTAGTAGGAGAAACGCTCATATCTAATGGCCAAATCTTTGAGTTAGGCTTCTTTAGTCCTGGAAATTCTGGCAAGCAATACGTTGGCATATGGTACAAGCAAATTTCTTTCCGTAGAGCTGTTTTTGTTGCAAACAGAGGGAATCCGCTAATGATCACAAGCTCCACTTCTGGTCTAACAAGTGGCGATGATGGAAATCTACGCATTGTTGACGCAAACCATACTATTTTGTGGTCAACCAACATCTCCGTTTCTGTGAATCAATCTGTTGCGGTCCTCCTTGACAAAGGTAGCTTGGTATTGAGAGACGGTGTGTTAGGAAAGTTGTTGTGGGAGAGCTTTAGCCATCCTTGTGACATTGTCCTACCGGGCATGATGACAGGAATAGACACCAAAATGAGAGAAATTGCTCATGTCTTCTCGGAAATCGGAAGATGACCCGTCCCCTGGAAAGTTTGTTGCTGGAATTGCAACGATGAAGCCACCAGAAGCGTATGTTTTGAAAGACTCGCTTCTATATTGGGGAAGTGGGTTGTGGAATGGATTGAAGTTTGTTGGGATGTTGGATCTGCATGGGGCGTACTTAAATGGGTTTAATTTTGTACCACAGGTGCAAAATGATGATCAGTAC